GGCGTCGCCAGGTGCGCGCGCTCCTGGTGTGAGCGCGCCGCGGCTCTGTGGAGTCCGAGGCTCCGGTGAGCGAGATGGCAGTGAGAATATGCACGTCCGTAGAACACTTCTATGCTCCGCCGTATTACACTGGACGCGGGTCGTGCTACTGTACCTGCTTGAGACGTTCTGCGGCGATGTGCGGCCGCAGTTTACTTCTCGGCTCCCGACACCGCTGTCCTAAACGCCTCGCCCACCTCGCTGGCGAATTCGCCGACGTTCGCCTCGTTGATCTTCTTCGACTGCCGCTTGGCTCCGAACGCCGTCGCAAACAGGTCCTCAAATCCTTTGCTGTAGCCCACGCCGCTGTCGCCGAAGATTCCCAAGTCTTTGCTGACGTCGGGCAGATCGGCGGGCTTGTCGGCCGCGGCCGCGCCCGAGGCGTCGCAGAAGCTATCACACTGGTTCGCGCAGTACGACTTGTTCCCGGGCGCGACTGTGTTGCACTCCTTGAAGCAGCTCGCCTTGCACTCGGCGGGCGTCATCGGGGCCTCATCGGCGAACGCGCCGGAGCCACCGCCACCGAAGGCGGCCGCACCGAGGACGAAGCTCAGCGCCTGGCGGCGGCCTACAGGAGGCTGCGGAAGCCGGAGCGCGTGGCCGCACGCTGCGCAGGTGAGCACCAGGTAGCGAGCGAGCATTCTCTGAGCTGCGCCAGACCGGAAGAATTTTATCTGCCCAGAGGGGTGGTTGAGGGGAGAGAGAGAGAGATTTTTAGCAATACCAAACAACTCTAACACTCACACGTCATTTGGGGCCTGGAGCCCTGTTCACGCGCGCGCGAGACGTGCAGACAGGGTTGCCAGGTGAGAGCGAATGGCGCGGTTCACGCCTCGCACAACAGAGAGAGAGATAGATGCGCTCTGCATGGTGGGACATAAAAGAAAGCGAGTACTTGGGCGAGTAGGCCGTGCGGTCGACGCTGCCGCGCGCGGCTTTGCGCGCGAGGCGGCGCAGCTTGAGAACGGCGGTGGGCGAGAAGCCGCCGCCGAACGTCTCGTGGAGCAGCAGGTTGAAGTTGTTGCGCTTGACAAAGATCGCGTCGTGGTAGAAACCGCGATGCGCCTTGACGTAGCCGTGGCCGTTCTTGTGGTCGAAGGGTTGGCCGGGTTGCCCGCGCGCCTTGCAGCCCATGTTTAGGCGGCGGGCCTTCTCTTCGGTGTTGCCGAAGGCGTAGGAGTGGCCAACGGAGGCGGGCGTGCCGCCGCTCGAGGCGTTGCCAACGCCCGCCGAGGAGGTCTTGAGGAGGGGCGTCCAGAGCTTGACTTCATTCACCTCATCGCATCCTCCCGGGCCAGCGTGGGGTTCCGCGAGGTCGACCTTGTACCCCTCGTTGTACTGCCGGGTGAGCTCTGGTTTCTCCTTGTCACCGTGCACGACCGGCGCGTTGGCCGGGGCGCGCATCGCGTCCGCCCAGGCGGCGAGGACGCCGTCGTGGGGCCGCCGGTGGTGGGCCTTGTTGTAAAGGTAGTCGCCGAAGAAATCGACTGGCATGCCCCGCTCGAGCGCGACCCGAAGGGTGGGAAGCGCCGCGGAGAGCCAAAGGCCGAGCTTTCGCTGGAGCTCGTCTTGGAGGGTGTCGGAGGAGAGGGCGGTGGCGTACGTACCGTCGACACGGACATCGAAGGCCTTGCCGGCGAAAGGCGTTGAGGCGGAGACGAAGCGCGCGGCTTCGCGGTTGTTGACGGCGCTGTCTCCGAGGGACGGGTTGTTCTTGACGTGCACATCCCGCGCCTTGACGAGCTCCTGGTGCGCGTACCAGTCCTTGTGATTCTTGATGGCAGCGAGCGCCCGCGGCCGCGGGTACGTGGATTTGCAAGTGCCATTGAGAATCGCGTCGGTAGCTGGAAGGGACTCGGGCTCGGGGAGCGGGACGCTCTTGGGGTAGAACTCAGTCAGGTAGCCGCCGCGGACGGTGTAGTACTTGTTTTTGTCGCGGGCGGCGCGCTTCTCGCACACCTCCTTCCAGTCCGAGAGGGCGGACTCGTAGGTGGCGATAGCTGCGGCGATGGCGGGGTACTTGGACGCACCTCCCTCGTAGTGGGCGAAGTCGGGGTTGTGGGCGACGAGAGGGTGCGCCAGTTCTTGAGGAGCGACATCGAGGAGCGACATGGAGAAGTCGCTGTCGGCTCGCGAGTTTGTTCACTTTGGGATCCTTCACGACTTCCTCCACTCAAAAAGCACGATTCTCAAGTTGGGCCCTCTAGGGGCGAGGACGTCAGCGA